CCGCTGCCGCCATGGGGAAGTCGGATTTCCTCAGCCCCAAGGCTATCGCCAACCGCATCAAGTCCAAGGGGCTGCAGAAGCTGCGCTGGTACTGCCAGATGTGCCAGAAGCAGTGCCGCGATGAGGTGAGCGCGCCCCGGCAGCCGCCGGGCCCGCGGCCGGCCAGCGCGGGGGGGCCCCGTTTTTTTTTCTCGAGGAGGGAGAGCGATCGTCTGTGAGGGGGCGCGGGGCGTTCCGACCGCTTTGGAGGGAGGCCCGGTACCTTTGAGGGGGGCGGTTCTCGTGGGGCGTCAGATCCCCGCTGTTGGGGTACTCAGTCCCCTTGCGGGGGTCGTTATCCACCTTGTGAGTGTCCGCAGTGCCGGTGGAGGGGATACGGAGGGGCTCCGATCGCCCTTGTTGCGGTCCTCAGTCCTCTTATGTGGTGCTGCCATCGCCTTAGGGGATTTATGGCCTCATAACCTTGTAGAGTTCTCTAGTTCCCTTGTGGAGTGTGCAGGGCTGGCCCAGGTACCCCTTGTTAATGTCTCCAGTCTCCCTGTGGGGGCTCTGATCCCATCTGTGGGGTGTAATCCTTCTAGGGTGTGTAGCGGTCTTACTTCCTGGGAGCACAGGGAGCCGCAAGTCTGTTTAGGAGAGCATTGGAGAGGGCCATTATTCTCACCTAGGAGTCCCTAGTCCTTCTTGTATGGAGCACGGTCCCTTTGGGGACAGATTGGTGGGACCTGGAGGGTTCCCAGATGCAGGGGGTGGTGCAGTCCCTTTGGGATCCCCCATGGGAGAAGTCTTCATCTGCTTTGGAGAAAGTGTGTTGGCCCTGATCCATCTTTGGGGATGTTCAGTCTCCTGCAGAGAGACTGATCAACCCTCAGTGAGAGGGAGCACAGGCCCAAAAGTGCCTGGAGGGGTGATTCACTCCTAGGTTGATGTCCAAGTGGAGAACAGTGATGAGTGACATTCCTCAGGGGTTGATATTGGGACTGGTGCTGTTTAACATCTTTGTCAGCGACTGCTGATTAATGCCACTTATCATCGGCCTTCACTTGGACATTGAGCCGTTGACCACAACTCTCTGAGTGCGACCATCCAGCCAATTCCTTATCCACCATGTGGTCCATCCGTCAAATCCATGTCTCTCCAATTTAGAGACAAGGATGTCCTGTGGGACAGTGCACAAGTCCAGGTAGATGAAGTCGGTCACTTTTCCCTTATCCACCAACGCTGTAACCCTGTCGTAGAAGGCCACCAAATTAGTCAGGCAGGATTTTCCCATAGTGAAGCCATGCTGGCTGTCACCAATCACCTCCTGTGATGTGCTAAGGCACATTTTCTGTGTGCCTTATCATAGTCGCCAGGAGGATCTGCTCCATGATCTTGCCAGGCACAGAGGTGAGACTGACTGGCCTGTAGTTCCCTGGGTTTTTCTTTTTTCCCCTATGTTTTCCCTTTTCCAGTCAGTGGGAACTTCACCAGACTGCCATAACTTCTGAAATATGATGGATAGTGGCTTAGCAACTTCATCTGCCAGTTCCCTCAGGACTCGCAGATGCACCTCATCAGGTCCCATGGACTTGTCCACCTTCAGGTTCTTTAGATGGTCTCGAACCTGATCTTCTCCTACAGTGGGCGGTTCTTCATTCTCCCAGTCCCTGCCTTTGCCTTCTGTGACTTGGGCTGTGCAGCTGGAGCTCTTGACAGTGGAGCCTGAGGTAAAAAAGTTGTTGAGTACCTCAGCCTTCTCCATATGCCAGGTAACCAGGTCCCCTGTTTCCTTCCGGAGAGGGCCTACATTTTTCCTAGTCCTCCTTTTATCACTGACATACCTATAGAAGTTTTTCTTGTTGCCCTTGATGTCCACGGCCAGATTTAACTCTATTAGGGCTTTAGCTTCCCTAACCTGATCCCTGGTTGCTTGGACAATTTCTCTGTATTCCTCCCAGGCTTCCTTACTGTCCTTGCTTCCACCCTCTGTAGGCTTCCCATTTGCACTTGAGTTTGTCCAGGAGTTCCTTGTTCATCCATGCAGACTTCCAGATGTTTTTGCCTGACTTCCTCTTTGTTGGGATGCACTGCTCCTGAGCTTGGAGGAGGTGATCCTTGAATATTAACCAGCTTTCTTGTGCCCCTCTTCCCTCCAGGGCTTCATCCCATTGTACTCTACTAAGCAGATCCCTGAAGAGGCCAAAGTCTGCTTTCCTGAAATCCAGGGTAGTGAGCCTGCTGTGCTCTCTCCTCGCTACCCTAAGGATATTGAACTCCATCATTTTGTGGTCACTACAGCCAAGGCTGCCCTTGCGCTTCACGTTCCCCACTAGCCCCTCCTTGTTGGTGAGAACAAGGTCCAGCAAAGCACCTCTCCTCGTTGATTCCTCTATCACTTGGAGAAGGAAGTTATCATCCATGCATTCCAGGAACCTCCTGGATTGCCTATGCCCTGCTGTGTTGTCCCTCCAACAGATATCAGGGTGGTTGAAGTCCCCTATGAGGACCAGGGCTCGTGAACGTCAGGCTGCTCCTATCTGTCTGTAGAGGGCCTCATCCACTCTGTCTTCCCAGTCAGGTGGTCTGTAGCAGACCCCCACTGTAATGTCACCTGTCCCTGCCCTCCCCTTAATCCTGACCCATAAGGTCTCAGTTGACTCCTTGTCCATCCCCAGGTGCAGCTCCATGCACTCCAGCTGGTCTTCGATATAGAGGGTGACCCTCCTCCTCGTCTCCCCTACCTGTCCTTCCTAAGGCACCTGTATCCTTCCATTCCAACACTTCAGTCATAGGATTCATCCTGCCATGGCCCCATGATGCCAATAAGACCATAGTCCTGCAGGTGTGCACACATCTCTAACTTTTCTTGTTTATTCCCCATGCTACATGCATTTGCATAGAGGAATTTAAGTTGGGCCCCCAATAAAGCTGACTTCCTGGCTGGAGTGTCTGGAATTTCTTTCTGCTGCTCTTCAGGTGCTCCCATCTTGTCACAGGCAAGTCTAATTTAAAGCCCTGTGACTGAGCCCCGCCAGCTGATGAGCAAAGACCCTCATCCTGCTTTGAGAAAGGTGAATCCCACCTGGTGCCAGGCAGCCTGGTGCCATGGAGGCCATCCCATTATCGAAAAACCAAAATTGTGACCGTGACACTGGCCACAGAGCCATGTGTTAATAGATTGGGCACGTCTGTTTCTTCCAATGTCATTGCCCAGAACTGGAAGGAGAGCAGAAAAAATAACCTGTGCTCCAGGTTCTCTTACCAGCCATCCCACAGCCCTGAAGTCTCTTTTGGTCGCCCTTGGACTACGTGTTGTGGCTTCATTGCCACCCACATGGAAGAGCAGTAATGGGTAATAGTCCGAGGGCCACAGCGGGCTGGGAAGTTCCCTAGTGATGTCCTTAACCCTGGCCCCAGGGAGGCACCAGACTTCCCCAAGAGGAGGGTCTGTCTGGCATATTGGACCCTCTGTTGCCCTCAGAAGGGAGTCACCTACAGCTGTAACCTGTCTTTTCTTCCTCATGGAGGTGGTTGTGATATGGGGGTGAGGCCTCACTGACCCTGGCAACACCCCTGGTGTAGATGGACCATCATCCGCATCATCCATTGACCGACCTTCCACATCCAGAGCCTCCTGCCTGTTGTACAGAGGCACCTAGGAAGGCGAGATGGGCAAGGAGGGG